CTGTCCAGGGCGAAGGCCCAGGTGGAGGAGGAGGGCAAGCGGCGGGCCGGCCTGCAGGCAGACCTGGAAGTGGCAGCCCAGAAGGTTGTGCAGCTGGAGAGCAAGAGGAAGACCATGCAGCCTCATCTGCTGACCAAGGAGGTCACCCAGGTGGAGAGGGACCCCGGCCTGGACAGCCAGGCGGCCCAGCTCAGGGTCCAGATCCAGCAACTCCGCGGGGAGGATGCTGTCGTCTCAGCCCGACTGGAAGGGCTGAAGAAGGAGCTACTGGCCCTTGAGAAGAGGGAGGTGGACGTGAAGGAGAAGGTCGTGGTGAAAGAGGTGGTCAAGGTGGAGAAGGATCTGGAGATGCTCAAGGCAGCCCAGACTCTGAGGCTACAGCTTGAGGAGGATGCTGCACGGAGGAAGGGGGTGGAGGAGGCTGTGGCCAAGCTACGGGCACGCATCCAAGACCTGGAGCGGGCTATCAGTGCGGTGGAGCCCAAGGTCATCGTGAAGGAGGTGAAGAAGGTGGAGCAGGACCCAGGCCTCCTCCAGGAGTCCTCCAGGCTGAAGAGCCTCCTCAAGGAGGAGAGGAGCAAGAACGCGATGCTGGCCAGGGAGCTGAGCGACCTGCACAGCAAGTACAGCGTGGTGGAGAAGCAGAGGCCCAAGGTGCAGCTCCAGGAGCGTGTCCTCGAGGTCTTCCAGGTGGATCCAGAGACAGAGCAGGAGATCACCCGGCTCAGGGCCAAGCTGCAGGAGACAGCGGGCAAGAGGAGCAGTGTGGAGAGGGAGGTGGAGAAGCTGCTGCCTGACCTGGAGGTCCTGCGGGCCCAGAAGCCGACGGTGGAGTATAAGGAGGTGACCCAGGAGGTGGTGCGGCACGAGAGGAGCCCCGAGGTGCTGCGCGAGATCGACCGGCTCAAGGCTCAGCTCAACGAGCTGGTCAACAGCCACGGGCGCTCCCAGGAGCAGCTCATCCGCCTGCAGGGCGAGCGTGACGAGTGGAGGCGTGAGCGGGCCAAGGTGGAGACAAAGACGGTGAGCAAGGAGGTGGTGCGTCATGAGAAGGATCCAGTGCTGGAGAAGGAGGCAGAGCGGCTCCGCCAGGAGGTGCGGGAGGCGGCCCAGAAGAGGCGGCTGGCAGAGGACGTGGTGTACGAGCTGCAGAGCAAGCGGCTGCTGCTGGAGAGGAGGAAGCCCGAGGAGAAGGTGGTGGTGCAGGAGGTCGTGGTCACCCAGAAGGATCCCAAGCTGCGAGAGGAGCACAGCCGGCTGAGCCGGAGCCTGGATGAGGAGGTGGGCCGGCGGCGGCAGCTGGAGCTTGAGGTGCAGCAGCTGCGGGCAGGCGTGGAGGAGCAGGAGGGCCTGCTCAGCTTCCAGGAGGACCGCAGCAAGAAGCTGGCTGTGGAGAGGGAGCTGCGGCAGCTGACCTTGAGGATCCAGGAGCTTGAGAAGCGGCCTCCCACGGTGCAGGAGAAGATCATCATGGAGGAAGTGGTCAAGCTGGAGAAGGACCCGGACCTGGAGAAGTCCACGGACGCCCTGCGGCGGGACCTGGACCAGGAGAAGGCCCAGGCAAAGGAGCTGCATCGGGAGTGCAAGAACCTGCAGGTCCAGATCGACGTCCTCCAGAAAGCCAAATCGCAGGAGAAGACCATCTACAAGGAAGTGATCCGGGTACAGAAGGACCGCGTGCTGGAGGATGAGCGGGCCCGCGTGTGGGAGATGCTCAACCGCGAGCGCACAGCCCGGCAGGCCCGGGAGGAGGAGGCACGGCGCCTGCGGGAGCGCATTGACCGGGCGGAGGCGCTGGAGAGGACCTGGTCCCAGGAGGAGGCCGAGCTGCAGAGGGCCCGGGACCAGGCTGACCAGGAGCGTGGGCGACTGCAGCAGGAGCTGCGGGCTCTGGAGAGGCAGAAGCAGCAGCAGACGCTGCAACTGCAGGAGGAGTCGAAGCTGCTCAGCCAGAAGACAGAGAGCGAGCGGCAGAAGGCAGCCCAGCGGGGCCAGGAGCTCTCACGGCTTGAGGCGGCCATCCTCCATGAAAAAGACCAGATCTATGATAAGGAGCGGACCCTCCGGGACCTCCACGCCAAGGTGAGCCGGGAGGAGCTCAGCCAGGAGACCCAGACACGGGAGACCAACCTTTCCACCAAGATCTCCATCCTGGAACCCGAGACAGGGAAGGACATGTCCCCGTACGAGGCCTACAAGAGCGGCATCATCGACAGGGGCCAGTACCTGCAGCTGCAGGAGCTCGAGTGCGACTGGGAGGAGGTCACCACCTCGGGGCCCTGTGGGGAGGAATCTGTGCTCCTGGACCGCAAGAGCGGGAAACAGTACTCCATCGAGGCTGCACTCCGCTGCCGGCGCATCTCCAAGGAGGAGTACCACCTGTACAAGGACGGCCACCTGCCCATCTCCGAGTTTGCGCTGCTCGTGGCTGGAGAGACCAAGCCAAGCTCCTCACTCTCCATCGGCTCCATCATCTCCAAGTCCCCACTTGCCTCCCCGGCCCCCCAGAGTGCCAGTTTCTTCTCTCCCAGCTTCTCTCTTGGGCTCAGTGATGACAGCTTCCCCATCGCTGGAATCTACGACACAACCACGGACAACAAGTGCAGCATCAAGACGGCCATGGCCAAGAACATGCTGGACCCCATCACCGGGCAGAAGCTGCTGGAGGCCCAGGCGGCCACAGGGGGCATCGTGGACCTGCTCAGCCGTGAGCGATACTCCGTGCACAAGGCCATGGAGAGGGGCCTGATTGAGAATACCTCCACGCAGAGGTTGCTCAATGCCCAGAAGGCCTTCACTGGCATCGAGGACCCCGTCACCAAGAAAAGGCTGTCGGTGGGCGAGGCCGTCCAGAAGGGCTGGATGCCCCGGGAGAGCGTGCTCCCACACCTGCAGGTGCAGCACCTGACCGGGGGGCTTATCGACCCCAAGAGGACAGGCCGCATCCCCATCCAGCAGGCCCTCCTCTCCGGGATGATCAGCGAAGAGCTGGCCCAGCTCCTGCAGGACGAGTCCAACTATGAGAAGGATTTGACAGACCCCATCTCCAAGGAACGGCTGAGCTACAAGGAGGCCATGGGCCGCTGCTGCAAGGACCCTCTGAGCGGCCTGCTGCTCCTGCCCGCGGCGCTGGAGGGATACTGCTGCTACCGCTTGGCCTCCCCCACTATCCCACGCTCCCTGTGCTGACACAGGCCAGGCAGCCGGTAGGTGAATGTGTGTGTTGGGGCGGGTAGAATACCCCTTGCCCCAGAGTATCCTCATCCCCAGCAGTGGGTCTTCCCGTTGACCGCTGTTTTTTATTATTTTACTACCATGGTGTTGGGCTCCCTCCCCTAACCTTGGTGACCGATCCATCCCCAGACCAGGACAGCAGCAGCTCAGTCCTTCCTCCCTCCATGTCCACCCGGTGATCCCAATAAACGAATTCTCCCTGTGCCACGTGGTGTCCCGTTCATTCATGTTTTGGAGCACAGGATCCACGCATCTGGGGGATGAGTACGAGGACAGTGTTGCTCAAGTCCTTTCCGGGTGGATGTGCCCAACCCGCCTGCCTGGGAAATGGGTATCCTCGGAAGCCTGTGCCTCCTTGGGTGCTGGGCAGGGATGTGGTGGCAGGTCACAGAAAGAGATGATGGTTTAAAATCACTCGAGGCCGGGCGAGGTGGCTCATGCTTGTAATCCCAGCACTTTGGGAGGCTGAGGTGGGTGGATCACGAGGTCAGAAGTTTGAGACCAGTCTCACCAATATGGTGAAACCGCATCTCTACTAAAAATACAAAAATTAGCCAGTTGTGATGGCGTGCACCTGTAACCCCAACTACTTGGGAGGCTGAGGCAGGAGAATCGCTTGAACCC